AATCTGTGAACACTGCGATATTCATTTCGACTCTCTGAACGCCTTGGTATCTTGTATCCATAATCGCTTGTAATAATACTATAAATAACTTTTGTGTCAGTACTGTAACATTGTAACTTGTAACATTGTAACATGATTTGTAACTTTTTGTGTTATATACTCAATTTTTCATTCCTCTTTGTAATTCTACTTATACGAATATTTTTGGGAAATATTTTATTTTCACTTTGTTTTAGCGTTTACTTTTATACATTTCTATATTCCATTATTTTTAATATTTTGTTTCATATATACTCTGTAATAATAGCATTTCCTGTAACTGGGTATTTTTTTAATAAAAAGTTCAAGGGGATTTAACCATTTCCTAATTTGAAATATTCTATGGATCCTTAAACGAGTCTGTCATGGATAAGTTAATATATACTCAAAAAATGTATCGAAAGAAATATAATTATTCGGTATCAAGTATTCCCAGTAGTCTAACAGGGTAATGCTATGCTTTACTTCAGTTACAGTATGAAGTTGGCAGCGTTTTCAACTTCCAGTACGATCAATGTTTCTGTGAAATTTTGAACATATATTCAATATACTTATCACTAAATTATATCGATACCTACTTGGAGCAAGGGCCACATAAAATATTCTTGGTATTCATGTATCCTCGGAATAAGCCGCTGGTTCTGAGCAGTTATCACCCGAAGACGATTGTGGATATTAACAATCGAAACGTCGTGACATAACTTGGTTTGAAATCTGTTTTATTTTTCATTTTTTGTTAATAATAATTTTTAATTTTTATTTTTTCAGCTTTTATTAACATTTCAATTTTTATTTGTTTGGTTGTTGCTTGTATGTTATTTTTTTGTAATTTCAGTTTTTTGTTTAATAAAATTTTTATTTTCGGTTAATCTTTTTAATTTTTTTTTCAGGGATTTTAAATCAATTTATATTATATTAGACAAGTCCGAACTGATGAAATATAAAATTTTCTGCCAAAGTTGAGCGATACTGTCCCCTGTCTAAGAGGTCATTCACATTTCCGTACTGCATAGCTTTGGTCACAAGTAGTTTTTCCATTACTAGCATTCTTGAACAATTCTCAAGGAATGGCAAAATCTGAATTCTTGCTTCATTTCAGATTCCTTGATGTGTTGAGTATTGCTGGCATAGTATGACCTCCAGTATCTATATATAGAATCAACATATTTTTATATGTAAAATAGATAAGAAGCCACAATTAATACATAATTAATAATACTTTCAACCGTCTCTTAATATTTATCTTAAGTTTTGGAAACGGATACAATTTTAATGTTTTGGTAACGTATTGGGTATAGCTCTTAAAATTTTTATGATAACATCAGAATAACATTTCTTATTTCTTTCACTATAGCAGCATACGATTTTTGCGCCAAAATTCGAATTTTCAGATTATAGCAAGAAGAAAGAATCAGAAATAAAACAAAATTGCCAGTTCGAAAATGACAAATTTGGTTTTGGCATATTTCAAATACTACTGGACCAGGGAAGTTTTTTAATGAAAAATATGTGTTAATGGGTTCATGACTATCTAATTAAGCTCATAATAAAAAACAGGAATTTCCAAATTCCAGCAGTTCCATTGTGAAGAAACTACATGAACATGGAGCTTATCATAAATTACTGAAAATTATTTCAAGATAGCCCACTCTCTATGTTTCTATGTTGCTCACATTTTCATGAATCCCTAAGTACTGTATTGTTGCTCTCCAATATATTTTAAATAAAATTGTTTTTGTTGAAAAAAAACATCATAAAATATCTAAAAAAAATTAGTTATTGCCATAACAATCCGTTGTCACAAACATTCGTTGTTACATGTAATATTATCTTATTTTTATATTCGTTAATACAAATGTAAAGTCCAGCTCTCCATGATGAATAGAAAATTTGAAAAATATTATTGTTGGCCAGTGTCCTGGAAAATATTGTTGTATCTCATGCCCTAAAGAAAATAACGCCGGCCACCATTGGTAGCCATAAACCAATTGTGACATTGCTAAGAGCGCGCTCAGTTGGACCGCGGCTGTTCGCACCGTTTTGATGGAATTCCCGGCGAATATTCCACCGACTTCGATAGAATTCCGAAGAATTTTCTACTTCCTTCGATTGCCAAATATAAGCGACATCCACTCGCCCATCGAGACAGTCAAGTGGAAGTGACAGTACCGAACGCTGAGCTATCTAGTAAGGCGATAGACATTTGAATAAAAGTTGAAGATTAAGTTAGTGTTTTGTTGTATCGAGAGTGAAATAAAGTTAGGTTGATTATTATACAATGTAGTCAATCATTTGTAAACCTACGGGAAAAAACGTAACAGTATATATCTTCCAATAAGATCTAGGAATAGGAAAGTCAATATGAAAAATGAGAAATGAAACTTTCTATGTTTTCCACCACTATTATTTGTAACTATCGCTACTGCATTTTCGTCATATATGCAGATTTTCAAACTAATTGTATTGGTAAAAAAACAAAGTCTCATTTCTCATTTTTCATGATGATCTCCTACCACGTAGTAACCGCTATATAGGTACTTCAATCAATTTATGGAAAGTCAATATTTGACATACTCGACATGATTTTACTTGTGAGTATTCGAAATATTTTCATTCATGTATACTACCATATTTATTTGTTTTCTACTAGTTAGCTTTGATGCGAGCGTCACTTTGAGGTTATCATCCCAATGAATTTTTGCATTTGATTACTTAACATTCGGATCAAAACACTCATAGTCAACTTACTTGTTTTGGAAACAGAAAAAGTAGATTTGAAGTTCATTATTACATTGGATCAATTATTCATTTGAAGACTTCTTTTTATTACTAATAATAATAATAGTACTATTACCTAGCGTCAACAAGGACGTAACACCGAGAGTAACCCGTGCAGGTATTGCTTCTGGTTTGATCCAGAAAGAAATCCAAGACATCACCACGATCAAAGCTGAAGGTATATATGTGTGGAATAAGTGATATCCCAGTCTTCTTCTCAAATTGAAGACTATGGCCAAACACGTGAAGTTGCCTGAAATGTATAAAAGTACCTTCAATCATTTTTGTATTAAATACTCTAAAAAATATTTCTTTCATCACTACTAAGTTATCTAATATGTTAATGATATCCTACATGTTTCATGACACCAATTTATTTTTTCCCAATTTTTTTAAAAGTTTGCCACAAAGATTTTGACGGGATGCCCATTGCGGTGCCACCATTTTGTTCATAGACCACTAATTAACTAAGTTAAATCAGAAGATGACCAAATCATGGAAGTGCATGTAGAGACATATTGCTTTAGTAGGTAACTCTTCCTGGGCACGTTTAGAATTAATGATTTTGACGAGTATTTTCGAATAATTAAATAGTTTGATACATTTTATATTTCTAGTAGACTTACAGAATTGCAAGTATATGTGAGAATGTCTAATAATAATTACTTCTAATGATGGTAATTTGATAAACAAAACGCGCGTCAAATGTGGGTGTTTTTGTTCTGCTGTCGAAACAGAATTTTCATTAGATTCATTTCACGCTAGTAGTTCCAATTCTACCTATTAGGCCATCTGTATAGATACATATTTGTTGTTTTTTCACTTTTCACTTACATTTTTAAAACGTAATACTGAAATAATCGTTGTATTGATAAAAATGACACACGACATGGCCTGGTGAGATATCATCGCAACGGCTTACGCAGCATGAAGTTGCTTTCGGGCTAATCGTTGCTGTGCCGGCTGTTTTCCGGGTTTCAGAGATGGGAATATGGGAACAAAATTGCATGATGGCGCTCCTAGAGTCAAAATACTCCGGAGGTAAAATAGCTCACCAATCGGATCTCTGGGTAGNTCCGGGTGGGGGCTGATTCGAGGGCATTATCCTGCAGAAGTTATTCGAAAACCATTATTTCTGACAGTCAGCAGGGTCTTTCTAACATCAGTCCACAGGGAAATAGCATGGTATCTGCAGTTGCTAAGACGCTCACTAGCGACTTCAAAATCTATTTCTGTAACATCACAGGACTCAAGACGTAACTTTGGAATATCTCTTTTTATCCGAAACGATCTCTCCTGTCAACGAGAGAAAATGATAGAACCCCAAAACTTTGATGTTATGTGGTATAAAATAATATCACAGAAGATCACTAGATTCATATGCTGCGTTAATTGACCATCAAGCGATAGACAATTCTCTCCACTTGCAAACACCATTGACTTTCTGCAAATCAATCATCCTAGTGCCAAAATTTCCATATTCGGTGACTTCAATGTCCGTAATATCGAATGACCTAAATTTTGAAATATCAACGACGTACAAGGTCGCGAAGCTGAGGCTTTTGCAATAAGCAGCTGACTTACTCAGATTATGAATGAGCCAACCCGATTCCTGACTGTGATGGAGAATATGCTAGTCTTCTGGATCTATATAACAACCAATCCAGAAATTTATACATTTACCGTAAGGTCTTTCTTGGGGTCTTCTGATTACAAACTCAATTCAGTATAGAGTGATTTATCGATGAATGTTGGGGAACCATCTAAGCCGCGCAAAGTTTGGCATTACAGATCTGCTGAGTGGGAGGATCTTCAAGACCACTTTCGAAATTTCCCCTGGCTAGATGTTTCTTTCAGCTCTAATGATCCATCAACTTGTGCTTTTGAAGTCATGGAAGTTATTCCATCATCCATGGATGCATATATTTCTTTTTCAAAAAAACAAACTTCTAACGGCGAACCTTGCCGTTGCGATATAGCTGTCGCCTCCAAAAATCTCGCCTAACAGCAGTGGCTCAAAAATCCCAGTGCCGAAAACCGAACTAAGTTTGTTGATGTTCGCAACAGCTGCAAAACTTAGAATAAATGAAACCGAAGAACTTCACAATCACAGAATTAGGAATAAACTGCTTGCCAATCCCAATGGGTCTAGATCTTTCTGGTCGGTAGTTGAAGTTGTTAATCAAAACCTTACAAAATCCACAATTCTACCACTAACACAAGCAGATGGTTCAATTGCAACAACAGCCATAGAAAAAGCAAATTTATCAGCTGAACAATTTGCGTCCCACTCCACAGTCGATTATTTGAGAAAGGCACCACACTAGAATACACAATGCTGGAAATTACTTTTCGACATCTAGCCTGGCATATTTTTAAACAGCTCAATATCAACATGGCGTCTGGTCTTGATAGAGTGCCCGTCATCGTACTTAAAAAGTGCGCCATTGAACTTGCACCAGTATTTTGCAGACTTTTCAACCGGTCTAACAAGGAAGGGCTTTTTCCTTCTTGTTGGAAAATTGCTCGCGTTCAATCTATTCCCTATATCAAAAATTATGGAGGAAGCCGTAAACCATCATATCCGTAAGTATTTGGAAAGCTTTAACATCTTGAGTGATCATCAATATGGCTTTCGGAAACAAAGATCAACAGGCGACCTTCTATCATATCTTCCGTTGAGCTTGATATTCATGCCTTTGACCAGGTGTGGAATGAAGGTTTGCTGGCCAAACTTGAATGCTATAGCTTGTCGGATCATTTTTGAGTGTGGCTCTGCAGCTTCTTGAAAGAACGTTATCTGCAAGTGATCGGCGATGGATATCTCTCGAATACTATTACCATCAGCGCTGGTGTTTCCCAGGGATCCATATTGCCTTCAACCCTCTTTTTATTGTATATCAACAACTTATTGGAAAAAACCAAGAATCCAATATATTGATTTGATGACGACAGTACACTTGTCTCGTCATTCTACTTGGATTCCAGGACATCGGCTACGGAAGCACATCTTCACAGACAGCAGAAGGTTGCATATCTTAATGAGGATCTAGAAGTGATTTCGAATTGGAGTAAAAGTAACCAGGTTCAATTCAATGCCACGAAAACCCAGGTATTGGTTTTCTCCGAGAAGATAAATGTCTCCGAAGTGGATATAATAATGTCAGGACAGACAATTTCTCTTTCTGCTCCGATAAGTTTGTTGGGGGTTATGCCAATCATTTCGCTGGAATTGCAAAGGCTGCTTTCCAAAAGCTTAGAATACTGTTCAGAACCAGAAAACTGTACACACCTCAGCAACTTTTGATGCTTTATAAAGCTCAGATCAGATCTTTTTTGGAGTATTGTTCACATGTATGGAGCTCCGCCCCTAAGCATACCCTGAAGCTGCTGGATTACATCCAGAAAAGAGCCATCCGCCTGATTGGAGATGCAAACATCACTTGCAACCTTGATAGTCTGGAACATCGAAGAAAGGTTGGGAATTTGTCTTTTTTCTATACATACTTTCACGGGAGGTGTTCAAGTAATGAGATACCGAAGGTGCACATGCCATCCAGATTTCCAGAAACATCACAGCTTCTGCTAACGAACTGGGGAGAACTTAAGAGTACCCCAATTACGGTAAATGGAACTTCCATTTTGTGCATTTAGAAACTTTAGTTTCTAACAACTTGACCATACCACACAGTCTCCTACAGCTCTGAAGAATGATTGATTCTCTACAGCCCCCTACGACTGTGAGGAACATATTTGATAGACCAGAGCTTCGGAAAGGACACACCGAAATATGTCCTGTGGGGTCCAATAAAAACATTGGTCCAATAAAAACATTGGACATTAGTGGTTTGATCAAGTTGTTAGGAACTCAACTTTCTAAATTTCGTAATTGGGGTATTCTAAAGTTCTATCCAGTTCGTTAGCAGAAGCTGTGATGCTTCTGGAAATCTGGATGGCATGTGCACCTTTGGTGTCTCATTCCAGGACTGGTAGGCCGAGCCTTCGAAGATACTCAGTTTATGTTCTGTGTTCAAGTAAGTTTGCACAGTTGATTTCAACAAGAGCAGTATATAATCAGAAATGCGCGACGAACTGTGGCTGCTCATCGGTTTGAGGTTCAACTCAGTACACCTCTAACTTCACTGTTCAAAAACTTCCTGAGAACGGTTTCCCAAATAAATTCAATCTTCAGCGCTTCAAATCCAACGTGAATAGCTACTTTCACACAGGCACCGCTCATAGAGCGCCTTGAGGATTTTCCTGTAGTGCTTGTGTTTTGTCCTTAGAAAAATACCTGCGTAAAACTGGTTCATAAAAAAAATTCTGATACAGTAATAGTGATACATTTTTGTGAAATTTTTCTTCTCTGACATCTGTTTATACACTGTGTCCGTAAAGTATGGAACAAATTCATTTTTAGCTAAACAGGTCATTTTAAGAAATAATCCTGAAACACTCAAAAGAAAACCCCCACTGGATGCGTGAGCATCATACACAATACCCTCAAAAGGTAAATGTATGGGCTAGAATTGTACGAAATCGAATCATTGGATCCTACTTTATCGAAGGTAATTTGAACGGGGCAAAGTACCTTGAGTTTTTGAGGGGGTATCTCGTATCTACTTTACGTAATTTATTTCCCAGCAGACGTAATCCTGGAGGCTTTGATGAAAGTTTATGGTTTCAACAGGATGGTGCACCTCCACATTATGCTGAACATGTTAGAAGGTACGTAGATGATATTTTTCCGAACAGGTGGATTGGTAGACGTGGACCCACTGAATGGCCAGCGAGGTCACCAGATTTAAATCCTTTGGATTATTTTCTGTGGGGCCATCTGAAGAATGTTATTTATAAAACGAAACCAGCAAATATTGAAGATGTACAAGTGAAAATTCCAACAGAAATAAACAATATTACGCAAGAAACCATACACAAGGTTCAACAAGAATTTGTACACCGTTTGGGTTACTGTCAAATACAGCAAGGGCTGCAGTTCGAACATTTAATATAAAGTCATGTATTCCAGCATATTCTGTCCGCTAGACAATAAGTATTTTTGATAATATTGCTAATTTACCTAATAAAGAATGTTACGCGTTACTTTATTAGCACACACACAACTACTGTATTTTTGTCCACCCTGTACCAATTGGAATCAACATGTGATACATTTTTGGAATCAGCTCGGCTAGAGTAATCCGAAAATTGAGACAAATTCACCCTGTATATTAGATTATTATTTTAAAATACGGTAAATTAACATCAAAAATCGACGTGTTTCAGGATTATTTCTTAAAATGACCTGTTTAGCTAAAAATGAATTTGTTCCATACTTTACGGACACAGTGTATAGTTTCATTAAACGTTTTTGCGAGTCAGGATACTTAACATTACCAAATTACTGTTAAATTGATTAAATGATTATTTTTAGATGAATTAGACTTTCATTGATAATTCTCATCCCATGTGTAAAATAGACGTGATTAGTTGTTAGTTACTAATTGTGTACTACTTGGTGCGACAGCACTTTCATCGCCATTACATGTTATTTCATAATATTCTATTTCGGTTTGTGTACAAACCGACTTAGAATATTAGTTCACCACGGCAAATACCGTGATAAATTTAGCTAGCTTTGATATTAACCTATTCATCATAAACGATGACGAAAAGTACAAACATTCGACGTCATCCTTCTCAGTTTCTCACCTGTGGAATACTCAATGGTGCAATCTGTTGTGTAATTATTGGAAATATCCAATTGCGGCAGTTCAATTTCTGGATTGACCACCAAAGGATCCGTCATGTTCCAAATGAACACCAGGTCATGATCCGTGTGCGATACTGAAAATGAAGGCTAGCATCATAAATAAAACCATGAGTTGAGTGATAAGTGGAAATGTTTGATAACTAGATGATGTCCGCGAAATCGTTCACGTGGACTTTGGTATTTGGGTCTTTCCAGATTCTCTATCAGCAAAATGTTCTTATGTATTTGCCTATATTTGTTTTGAAGCGAAGTCGATATACAAACTATAAATATAGGCAATCAAAGTTTCAGCCAAGTACAAAGTATTTGTTTTTCAACAAATGTAAGTCTTTTTTTGTTTTTTATTTATAAACCGATTGATTTAAATTAAACACTATAAATATGCTATAAGTGAAGCACACTACAATATACTGAAAACTGCTACTCAATCGGTGAAGTCGTTTTTTGAGCGCGTACAAATGCACAGAAAAACAGACAAAAATTCTAAAATTATTGTTTTGGGTTTCATTACGTTAATAAAAACCCTCAATTATAGTTTTTTCTCAAATATCTTCCACGTTCAGACAGATTATTATATTCAGGTGGTGAACGTCAGTCCGGAAGATTATTTTTTCATAAAGATAAGGTGTATAATCTTATGGAACAAAGTGCAGGTATGAATAATTTGTCTATTGTAAATATTGAGCCAACTGATTCCCCTCAGCGGGAACTCGTGTGTATAGATGATGATTACTACAGGTCCCAAAATAGAGACCTGTGGGGTCCCATTCTCTGTATGCAGACATTTTGAGCGATTCCCTTTCATCAAAACGGCTTGCATTAGATAATCCAACTGACTCCACTGTGAAGCCAATATATTATAGAAAGTGTGTTTGATGCAGTCAAATGTTTCCGTATAATCAAGCATTACTAAAGCCGTCAACTGTCTTTTGTCAGTAGCCCTAAATATGTCAGCTGTGTTGAGATTTAAATCCCGACTGTCACTTGGGAATAATACTATTAGAATTTAGGTGAGACAATCTGGAAAAATAGTATTTTCTCAAACATTCTAGATAAAATGAGCAGAGAAGGTTTGAAATCAGTTGGATTGAGTTGGATTGGATGTTTTAGGTGAAGGAATGATAAATGATTTTTTCCAGATTTGAGGATATATATGATTATTGATACAAAAATTGAGCAAATGGGATAAAATTGGGAGAATCACAGAACAACAGTTCAAAAGCATGACCGAGTTGATTTCATCGACACCCTAGGCTTCGGATTTGATTGATAAAAGAACTTTATAGATATAGAATCTGAAATTACCAACGCCTGGTTTGTTGTTTTTAAAATGAAAATTCAAAGTATCAGGGCAAGGAGAGCAATAATTTTTAGATATATTCACAAAGTGATCGTTAATATTGTTCTAAATCATGCCCGAAAGATAATAACGCTGGCCGCTACTTGTAGCCATAAACCACTGGTGACGTAGCTAAGAGCGCGCGAATGTACGATGATTCCCCGCCACTCTAGAAGCAGCGAGAATAATGCTACCGATTTCAATGGAACTTCGGCGAAATTTCTACGTCATTCGATTACGATATTTAAAGGCTAGCCATGAGGATATCGACACAGTCCCCCGTAATTGGATGAACAGTTTCCTCATCCATCCCACCCCAGCCAGGTAGGGGTACACCGTAAGGACGGTACTGATGTCTGAGCACTTTCATGCCACCATCACCGCTTAGCCATGAACCAATTTGTCCTTTTGACAAAAATCAGCTGCAAGGGTAAGGGAGCTAGGTTCCAATCTGATTGAACTGAAGATGCTTGTTCGATATCGACACAGTCAAGTGAAAGCTACAGTGTGGTACGCGAAGTGATCCAGTAAGACGATATACATTCAAATAATAGTTGAAGTTTTAGTTGAAGTGTTTGTTGTATTTGAAGTGAAATAAAGTTAAGTTTGATTATTCAGTGTAGTCAATTATTGGTCAACCCACGGAGAAAAACGTAACAATATCGAAAGGATTTCTCAGATTTTCAGGTAGAGCATTGGATCGCTTTTCTGTATTATTATTCATATTCCTTTTTTCTTTTCAAAATGCACGATTATGTTGGTTTTGATTGATTCTGAATCTCAGAAATGCCCGCTTAGTCTCGTTTCTCAAATTCTTGTAATAATTAAAGTGAGCTTGCGGTGTTATCCGCCTAAATTTCGCAAGAGCCTTGTCTCTGAGGAAATCTTTTTTTTATGACATCAGTCATCCAGGGAGCTTTAGGCCGGCTAATTCTGATAGTTTTTATAGAAGCATGAAGGTCGAATAGGGCAGTGATGATTTGGTTAAATGAATTCCCTTCTGCAATAACAGATTTCATCACAAAAAATGAAAAGTATTTTTCAGATGTTTGTAATATGCTTCAATAAATTTTCAAGTCGTTGTGTTCACGATTGACTTATCATGGTTACTGTAAAGTTACTGAAATTATTTACTTTCAATATTAAGTGCCAATTGCATTTTACTTGTATATATCATGAATTCTAAGATGAACAATTCCAGGACTGTAACATACCTTGTTTTTCAAATTTACAGTGTTATCAATATGAATTATTAGTCTAGCTCCAAATTGAAGTGTTTAAAAAAATACACAGTCCGTATTCGTTAAAAGAATACAGTCTTCTTTATAGATTTAAATTCGAGCCAATTTATATTATTTGTAAAAACATAGGTATATGAACCAGGGTGAAAACAATAGGTGAAAAGTGAATGACATAACCTGAGATCAGCTGACTCTTTTCTTGACAAAATCTGCTGGAAAAATAGATCTTACTCATTTTGTATTGTACCAGCATCATTATGCGATAAAGTCAATATCGTAATTGTAATTACTATACTTACGACTTTCGATCATCATTGTGCAAATTTGAGTATCGTGTGGGTAAGTCTCGAATTTCATAGCACAAGATAGTACCAGTGTTAACCTGAAAATTATATGAATTACTAATTTATTATGAGAATATAATTGATATTATTATTATTGTGAAAACTAATATGAAATTATAACATTCAATTATTACGAATGTATAAACTGCTCTGGTGTGTTTAGGCTAGTATACTCAATTTACAAATGCATTTTCACTTACTTGGACATGTATAGTAGAGTTTTATCATGGTACAGCCACAGGTAGTGATTCGGTATAGTCATCTCATGAAAGGTAACACTTTTGGCATTCTTGAAGAAACAATCTGGTCTCCAAATACTGTGGAGCCATTCTACGTCTAGTATTCTATATTCCTCACTCATATTTTCCGGTAGTCGTAACCTTGGATCCCGCCAACTCTGAGCTAGGAATATATCTGTGACATATGTCTATGAACAAGAAAACAGAACAGTAGATACAATAGTCAAAAATCAAAAAAATCAAAATCAAAAAAATCTTTATTTCCGTAGACCGAGGGAAGGCATGGAAAAAGTCACATAACTCAGTACAATTACAATGAGGTCACAATCATAAAACAACATAATTATAAGACATATTATATAACATTTAGACCATAAAAGGGATACAAAAATTAATAAACTCTTCAATGCATATATTTTCTCTAACATGATTCATCAGAGTTTGTTCTCAAGTAATATAAGAAAAAGCTAACGAAATTGATGAATAGGTCAGAAAAAGCGCGTTCCAATCTGTCTTCAGAACTACAGAAAATTCCTGAAAATATAATCACAGAAGAAAAAAGCAAAATTTATGTACAAATTAACGGATGATTTTTAAAAACAACATAAAATCACCATGTTGAGTTTTAATAATTTTGATTTAAAATAGTTCATACCGAAAAGGATACTTCATGTTTGTTTTAAAAAAACTTCAATTGTCTATTGATGTTTTTATCTTTTTGTAAGGTTTTCATCTTTTTGTAACCTATCTCGTAATATGTACATCATTTTTCTACATTTTTCATAAGTAGATATACATTGTTGAAACCCACCTTGTAATCAAGGACTTCTGAAGTGAAGTCTTCATCGGAATATCCTTTCATAGCTTTAGTAGCTACTGGTCCCATATAGTTGTTTACAACCGCAAATTCCATAAGCGACATAAAAACAAATACCGAACAGCTGGACATCCAGACATCAATCGCCTTAACGTAAGAGACCGGTGGTAAGGATTGTTGGGATTGAGTGTTCTGAGTTGCTAAAAAACGTACATCAGGCATTTAATAAATATATTCTAGTAAGATACCGTGTTAACCACAGAAACCACAGATTAATGGGATACTTTTCTTCAACACTGATTTTTCATGTTGAAACTCGGAAGCTCCTATTATTTCATTATTAGTTTTGTTGAATAGTGATATATTCAGTAATTAACATTTTTTAATGAAAATTGTCCACGGCTTGATAACATTTGAAATGTTCCAGAACAAAATTTGGTCATTTTTGACAGTCAATCGTTTGTATGTTGCTGACTGAATTGTATGGCCAAAAAATGTTATTATAAACATTGTATTAGTTATAACAATATGTTAAAACAATGGTCGTGAGAAATGCTTGAAACTGAGTGAGAAAAATTTGACCAGAGAAAAGTTTACTAAAAGTTCTGATTCTGTACTTCCTGCTGAATTAACAACTGATTCACAACATTCCAATAGAAGATGAAAACTCACAATATGGAGTCTTATTGGAGTCCATCAAATGACGGGTCAGTATTTTAATGAATAAATCGTCCATACAAATTCTTAAATTAGTTACAAGGTACCACGAAGTTCTAATCTTGGACCTCTTTTATTTTTATTAATGATCTGACAACCTCTTTGAATATTCCTAGCCTACTATTTGCAGACGACCTGAAATTATATTATGAAATCGATGACATTACTGACTGCCAGTGTGTACAACATCAAATAGATGTAATGAAACTTTGGTGTAACGATAATCGTCGTAACGTATCCAAATGTAAAATAATATCATTCACAATAAAAAAGCGAACTTTATTGCACGATTGTTCAATCAAAAATACTACAATCAACAGCGTACACGAGATAAAAGATCTTGGTATAACATATGACAGTAATGCATTCACAATGCAAGGAATCACACGTTAAAAGGTAAGAACTCGTTAGTCCCTAGCTCGCACAAGTTTCTCAACTTCTGAGAGTTGTTGTTCGTATGGGGGCGACTGCTGAGAAACGGAAAAACAGAT